AAAAAAAAAGAAAATTAAGCATAATAAGACAATTACTGACTTGGTCTCAGCTAGCTTAACGTATAAGAAGGGATTTCAAAATATTGTACCAAAATACTTACCTAAAAAGAGGAAATATGAAAACATATATATGTGGCATGTTTTTATATTATCATAAATACAAAAACAAATAAATACATTCCTTTATTAATGATCTGCATACATACCATTCGGCTTTTTCTTTTTCTTCTTCATCTAAATAAGAAAATTCTCTCCAAGAATCAAAATTATACCTAACACAGATAAAAGCAAGACAGAACAGATGAAAAACAATTCCTTCCAAAATTAAGTTAGATATGTACGATTCTCCACAGCAGTAATGGCAGGCATACTGCTCTGTCTGCAGGGATCCTTGTCCTCCCCTTGGGCTACCACTGTGCTCATGTCCTCAGTGCTGTCTTCTTTTTGAACAAGACACAGTAACTCCAACTGCAGCTTACAGAACTTTTTCCTTATAGTAATTTTATCCTTCCATATTTATTATATATTTAATGAGAAAATAGAGTACACATAAAATATGCTAAGTACTTTGAAAATTTGCTACAAAGGGCACTGTCTTAGTCAAGTGCTTTTAGTAGGAAGACATTTAAATGAAAATACATTAGCTTTCACTGAATTTAAATGATTGCTCAATTTTCTTGAAAAACAGCTACGGGTTTGGTATTCAATCTCATTAATAAAAACATACTGAAAAAAATAGCCATAAAAGCCTTAATAACACACCAAAGGTAGCATTATGTGAAAAATCTTTATTATTTCTGAACAGAGCACTTTTTTTCACTAAAGCTTGTGCAATTTATCCATTCTTCAATTTGCTTATGAACAATCAAATATTTGCTGATTGTTTACCCTTTTAAAAAATAAAAGCATCATAAAATATTCACTTACCAAAAAGAATAAAATGCATCTACATCTTCAAATGATGAACTCATATCACCAAGTTTAGGGACATTTTTTTTATTTGACCATCTGAAATATTAAAAATGAAAATCTGACTAAAAATTTTGCATGGAAGTTTTTACTAATCCTTTCCAGCTTCCATCCCATGAAACTTCTGTCAGATCAAAGGGAATGGATAGGACAGTGGTGGCACATTAACAATGGGGCCAGCAAGATAGCTCAGTAGACTAAGTACCCATTTAGGCAAGTGCAGGGACTGGGTTCGATTCCTAGCACAATAGGCAGGTGTGGTGGCCCACGCTGTAATCCCAGAGGCTGAAAACAGGAGGATCACCATGAGTCTGAGCTACATAGTGAGACTCTGTACCAAATACATTTAAAAAAA